AGCATGTAAAAGAGTCTGCTGCAAACTCATCCCCACAGCCTTAGCAGAGAGCTCAAGCCACACTAGGTCCATTGCTGTATGTTCACATGATTTCGCATCACTGGTGTTGAGGCCTATACAGGGCAATAAATACCAGAATCCTTCACATCACCTGCCAGCTCCAAGTAAATAATGTAGACTGTGAAGGACCTTCATATATGTGGTATACATCAACTGAGAGGCTAATGCCGACATATCAATAACCAAAAGCACAGGTCTGTGCTATGCCTTCATGAGAACAGCTCTTGCCCACTTGAGTAGATCCTGTCTCTGCCTGCCTCTAGTAAAGAGGATGCAAGTTATCCTTTTCTACCATCATATAATCTCTATTACATGACTTTTTTTTTTTCATTCATAAATATCTTCAGGCTTCCCATAAACATAATAAACAGGAGGAGGAAGGATCTGCTAAGTTTCTCTAAAATGGAAATTCATTACTGATGTAAGCAGTGCCTTTTGATTAAATCAATGTCTGACTCAGCAGCACTATGGATTTATACCAGCTAAGGATGGGGGTGGCCAATCTCACCTACCCTTGCTAAAATGGCATCACAGTAACCAAGAAAGAGAAAGCAGAGAAATTGTGACAAGGAAGGAAATTTCACTCATCAGTTTAAAGAATTCTTTGGTTCCTCTTTGTTTTTTTTCAGACCTACCTGCTTCCAGTGACAGCCAGAAGAAAGGATGCCTCTGATAAATCCCCAGATCCCTGTTACTTCCACACAGGGACGGGAATTCCCAGTGAACATCTGAGGCTGCGACCCTATTTCACATCAAACCCTGAGAGATCAGACAGGCCATTACTGATACTTTGATTTAAAAGAAAACAAATACTGGAAAAAAAGCATAATTAAGGATGGGTTTTTTCCACCATGAAGAACATATTTAACCATTTTATAATAATTTGTAATGCACTTCTAAGCTCCTCACAGCAGGAATTCAAATGCCTAAGTCACACAGTATCATCTCAACTATTGATGACCTGTCTGATCCAGTCTCATTTCTACGGACTTCTCCTTCCTCTGCCACATGTTCTAGATTGAAAGGCTTTCAACAGGCAGTGTGATGTGCCTAACTTTCAGAATTAGAGCCAAAACCTGTATTTCTGTTCTGCATGATCCCAAGCACAGAAAGCAAGTTCCGTGTTTCTGGGAAAAGAATAGCATTTCCCTGCAAATACAATAGGCTGCATTTATATATACCACTTTTAACTTCAAAATGCTTTTAGACAACAGCCAAAAGGTACAGCAGACCAGTAACCACCTAGGATTGCCAGTGCTATGCACTGTAGCTGAACTGGACTGCAATAACAAAGACATATCCCAAGTCCTTCTGCTAGAGTGGCCTCTACCACTTGAAGCAAAAAGAATCTCCTTCAAAATGAATAGCAATAAACTGTAGATGGTAGGACATGCCACTGATCCCTTCTGGTCTGCCTCAGGGAAGATAAATTCAGCACGGTTCATTACACTTCACAGATGAGGAAATTGAAATACAGGTGTTCTGGGATGTCCTTTCAGATTACTCACAGATGATGAATAAAAAAGGAGTTGTAATTAACCCATGAATAACAATGCTATCCCATTGCAGTTATTGTGAGAGACAAAGCAACGAATAACTCCAAGATGCAACAATCACAATTACAGTGATCCCAGACACCCCTTGGTGGAAAAGTCACCTGTAATCTACTACCATGAGAAAAAGAACATCCTGATTTTATTCTTGTTGAGGTAAGTGAAAAAACTACCTGGACTTTAGTTGGATGAGAATTGACCTCTTAAAGGAAAAAGATATCCAGGGACAGGATTATAATTTTGTTTCACATTTGTACAGTTCCAAGTGCAGATCCTGACAATAATAAAGTCTTCGACTTTAACACACAGCTACGGCAGTAGAAGATGCTACTCTGAGGTTTCTATCATTTCTCTTCTGGACGTTATCAGCACACAGCTCTGCAGGCAGAATAGAACAAGCCAGCACTCCAGACCAGCGTTAGCACAAAGTCCAAACACTAAAGCTGAAATTATGTAGGAGATGGTTTGCAGCATGCTGCCTGACCTCCCACTGAAGTGGGTGAGAAGTGCTCACACTCTTCTTCAGCAACACTTTGGAAACTGAAATTGCCAGGACAGTGACAACCAAATCAGGGATAACAGAAGCAACAAAGCACCCAAGAGCCAAAGCAAAGGTTTGCTTTTTGTTTTAAAGCCCTTTCTGTTAGCTGAGTCATATCAGACATAACATGGAGATCAGCAGAAGTCGTAAGAGCACAAAGCAATATTCATGGTGTGACTAAACCACAACACTTTCCTCATAATCCTTATCAAGTAGTAAGATTTGATGAAAAAACAACTAACTAGGCACAAGCAGGGGAAAAAAAAGCCCAACCAGGTGGCTATCCTACTTAGACCACAGCTGTCTGTACTGATGGATCAACTAGTGATACATAATAAGATGGGGAAATCAGATTAGATAGATTAAATCTTTGCCATGATCCTAATCTGAAGACCACTGTACACTGGGGAGTCAGCGAGCCACCTAACAGTTAACCTGCGTGGGTGCAGGCCCATGCTGTGCTGCATGTATAGCTTGGCCTTCTGGCCAGTGTTGTGCTGCACACACCCCTTGGATGCAGGATCAACTCATCTGGTTAATTGTAACAAAGGAGCCTGTAGGAATTTCACAGTGGTCACCAGCAATTAAACCACCTGCATGTCCTTGTTTGTCTTCATCTAAAAGTGCAGCAACAAGTTCTCTTGTGAACATCCTTTTCATTTGACAGTAGAAATGATAAATAGAATTGCCTTTTGTTTTGTTTTTAAAAAGAAAATAAAATAAGGGCTCAAAAGACCAAAATGCAAGCTAACCTTTCCACAGACAGATCTGTACGGTGTGCTACGCCCAGACTGGAGGGCTGTTCCATGTTAGGCAGCTCAGGGTTTCCAGCATCTGAAGGGATGTAAGATTATTTATACTCTCCTCTTTTTCTTTATAACGTTAGCTCTAGTAAATGGTATTTTAAGCAATACTCTACAGAGTCCGAGGTTCTTGCTGGGATCATAACAAACCAGCACTTCCTAGTGCAAAACATGCAAAGAAAGTGGGGATCAAGCTTGGCTTGCTGTAGGTTTCCTTGCAAAATTCTTTTTTAATTATTACTATGATTACTAAATTATTAATATTTACACTGTGTATTCAAATTGTTATTTGCTATTGAAATTCTAGTATAACAAGTAATTGGTACCACCCTCTACACAGCTGATTTCATACTGTGACATGCTATTCAGATAAATAAAGCTGAAGAGAATGGGAAGGTTTGTATGTTCAGCTAATTACCTGACTGCAGATGTCAACTGCTCTGTGTCCTGCCACTATCAGATTTTTACCCAGTCCATGTGTCTTAGATGAAACCACCCGTGTGTATATGCGTGTGCCGAGGCAAGTAAGTTAAACTACCATCTCTCTGTAGACATTCTTTGTTCCTGAAGATTAGCTGGGTTACACGATGACAGGTTTTTTCAAAGTGGATATTAGTCTAGTAGAGAAGAAAGAAAAGCAGCCTTGGACAATACACACTACATCTCACATTGCTGTCAAGAGATATCTGCACAGTTATACTGTTCAAATTAAATCATCTAAATATTTAACACGCTTTCCCAGAATGAAGTGCAAACCAAATAATGGCTAGCAACAGCTGCAGCTGAATCCAGATGATATACCTCCAGGGGCTAAATTCAACTCTGGAACCCCCCAAAATCTTCGTATCTGACAGCCACCCAAATTCTTAGTGATACAGAGAGATAGCTAAGATCAAGGTGAGTTTTCCTTTTGATGTTTTATCTCACTTGGCAAAAGAGGAGCCCTTGAAAACGCCTTTCTGGAACTATGCTGATGGTGCAACATCATGGCACATTTCTTTCAGACAAAGACAGTGACAGGCCCTTGCAGACCCTCTACAATAACTTAAGAGCACAACAGATGTTCTCCTGAGTCTGCAGCTATATGTACCAGACAGAGAAAACTGGCAAATGATTCATCTGATTCAGTGTACTAACCTTGACCAGCCACGTTTCCAGAAAGGAGACAGATCAGCCATCCTGCTGCCCCACCTTAAGCCTAAACACCCCCCACACACACCCCTGGGAATTTCCTTAGTGGCATCAAAAATGCCCTTTTCTCGCTGTATCTCTTCTCAGGTGGGGCAGATGAACATATACCTCACGCTTGCTCCTTTTTCCCCTGTTGCCTCCGAAGAATTTCCAGGGAATTTCTACACATATTCCCACCTACAGCACTTCCAGCCATGGAAAAGCCGTAGGACAAGTGCAAAGAGCCACACACTTCTCCTCCCAGGCTGACAGGTTAAAGGGAAATCGAGAACGTCTTTTGAGAGGGTGGGCGGCAAGTTGCAAAGAAGAACGAAATATTTGATATTTCTTTTACAAAAAAAGCGAGAAGAAAGCAGCGGTAGCGGCTGGGAGACCCCGCGGCCGCCTCTCCCACGCCCCCTCGCGAGTCCCAGCCAGCCGCGCCGAGCCCCGCTAACAAAGCGCCGCTGCCCAAATTCACGTCCATTTTCCCACCCGCTGATGCTCGATTCCCCCGGCGACCCCGAGCCGGTTCATCGCCGGATGCCAACCGTCCTCCTTCTCCCCTGTCACCTTGCGCTGTACAGCACGGCAGCATTTTGCCCTCCAACCCCCCCGGTAATTTTCCCACGCTGGAAAATACCGCTTGACCCACCTATTTTCTCCCTCACCCATCGAGCAGCCGAGCGCCCCATCCCTACCAACAACCTGCTAAATTTAGCCGAGTGGCCGCCACCGCGTATTCACAGCAGGGGCGAGCGGGACAGGCAGCAGGCGCGGTGCGGACACCGCACAGACACACACACGCACACCCCACAGGCAGGCAGGGACACGCCGACACACGCGTGCAGGTGCCGACCGGCAGCTACTCACACCACTAGCCTGGAGATGATCCATGAGACCATGGCGCTGCGTGCCGCAGGGCTGGCTCTCCCGGCAGGGAGGGCTCGCCCCGTCTCCTCGCCCGCCGCCGGCCGCCGCCCGAGTGAGCGGGGCGGGCGGCTCGGCCATCCGGCCCCGCAGCCTCAGCGCAGCCTCACTGGCGGCGCCGCCGCCGGCAGCCAACGCGCAGCCGGGCCCGGCCGCGGAGATTGGGCAGGGCCCGCGGCCGCCCCCCGCGGTGCTCGGCGCTGCGGGAGGAGGAGGAGGAGGAGGAGGAGCAGACCCCGCCGGCCTCCGCAGCGGGAGACCCCCGGGCGTACGGGGAGCGTGCGGAGGGAGGACGGGGAGAGGGCGGCGGCTGCGCCAGCCGGGAGGGGGTCCCTTCCCCGCGCTGCGGCATGGGGCAGACACGCGTCAGCTTCTGGACCGCCGCAGCCGAGCGGGCGGCGAAGCAAACCCTATCGACCGCTCATATCAAAGTAAGGGCAAAGCCGGGGCATGGTGTCGATGGGCGTCTCGGATATACGGGAAGAGACGGACCCCCCCTCCATGCCCCAAAGTTTCCAGGCACAAACGACAAGGGTATTATATTAGCTGCCCCATCCCGCTGAATTCCCGTCGCTGTCAGTGATGACAGCCAGCAATCTCTCCTCCACGTTAGTGTTCGTTAGGGGGTGTCAAGGCTATCAAGTCCAATTTCCACGAGGGACATTTGCCCACACGCAAAACAACAGATGTTGGCTCGACCTGTAGGTTGTTCTTCCCTAAGTTTCCTTTGGGTTCTTCTTCTTTTCCTTTGCTACGTTGGCAGATGCCAAATGTGATTAGACTGCCAGAAATCATCTCCCACTGCTTTGGTTTTTTTCTTCTATCAGAAGCACACACGCCCACGGGAATTCACGATGTGTTTTAGTCTTGCGGCAATCTTTAGATCTCAAGCTTGCCATCATGAGACCAGCCCCAAGCTTCACTTGGAGGCTGCTCCATGGAGCAGTTGGCCCGGTTTCAGGCGTTAGGGCCAGGGTTCCAGCCACCCTGGCTGCTCTGCAGGATCCCTGCCTCCACACCCGACACATTGTTCTTTTCTAGGACTGTGCATCTGCAGTGAATTTTTCCTGTCATTCTGAGACAGCATAGCTGAAAGAGGCTGACATTCCCTAATGTATTGTAACCTGTGAGGAACTCTTCTAGGGAGAGACGGAACATTTCAAACCAGAGGCAGCAGAGCTAGGAGCTGATCACAGACCTCTCCAGTCCCAGGGGGCACAGCCATCCTCACACTCCTGTCCATTTCCACAGGAGGATGATCATCACACGACATCCAGCCCTTACCTAACACCTTCCTTCTGCTCAGCTCAAAGTCCTCCATAACAGGATCGTCTTTTATTATGTAGGCTCTCTGGATCTGGTCCCCAGAAAACCAATAACACCCACAGTCTTCAGCTAAAGCTGCAGGTATAGACATGCATGTAGTTAAAGTTCAGCACCTCTAAAAATTATCTTCTAGGGGGAGCATCTACATGGCCGCATTGCTCTTCTCTCTGCAGTGGGTCTGTTCCTCCACCAGAGGGAACTTCCACATCACGCTGTGACCTGTAACAAGCTGTCACCTCCTCACCGACCTCCCTGGGTTACAGCCGCATTTCCTTTACAAACACCGGTATTTTCTGGTTACAGACAGGCTGTGAACCACAGCTGGAGGCACGGGGCCACCACCAAACATTCCTGCCTCGGGGACTGCAAGGACCTACAGTGGCAGCATCGCTCCAGCCAGCATTTTGACTGCTATACAAGCACCACAAAGACAGGACTGGGTGGTCTGTTGTAACAAGCAAGTGTAAATTAATTGTCTTCTCCAGACAAGATTGCTCTTTGGAAGAACTGCCTTCTCTCCAAAAGAAGCCATTAGGCCATCTAGCCCAAACTCTCAAGGCAGTGAATCATCCTGTGGCTGTCTTGCTTGTGTATCATAGCCAAATAAGTACTTGGAGATCCGTTAGCCAAGATTTTTCATGTATCACGATTATTTAGTGTGAGATTTTAGACTGCATGTTGGCAGACACTTCACAACATTATTACAGTTAATTATGTGATATTACCAAGTATAAGGCACAGATCTCTCTGCATGAATATTTGTGTAACCACCGCAGTACACAGAACTTGCCACTTAGTACTTGCTGCATATTTCAAGCATAGAAAAATGGACCAACAGGAGAAGATACCAGGTCATAAAGAGAGATAACACAGAGGACAAAACCCAAAGCTGCAGCAAAACATTTTAGCGCCCAGAGCATAACTCAGCCTCATGCCCTCTTGGCTCCTGCCAACCTCTTCCAGCTCACCATGTTCCCTGCAACTCCTGCTAGTCACCATCACTACTGACCTGCAGCTCTCTTTTCTGGGCAGCAACCATCAGAAAGGCTTGAAGATATTTTCTTCTGCTTGGCAGCTCTCTCTGACAGGGGTAAGCAGAACACGGGACCCCCCACACACACACCCCCCTTATGCTGCTGCTTTGTACACAACTGACACAATCACCACCTGATGATTGTTGACTGATCTTAAGCCTCAAATGTACACAGATAGTTAACAAGATAGGTCTGGTGATGGAAAACCTAAGGAGCCTGTCAATGTGAATGCAGGGAGCTTTACTTAAATAGCTATTTGGTAAACAGAGGGTGAAGGGGAGAAATTCAGCTCCACTGAGTCATCAGTGGAGGGGTTACAATGCCCCCTACTTACTCTTCATGGGCTGTGTCTTAGGATAGCAGTCATATAGCCCTGTGACTGTAAGCTTGGCATATGACAACCCAAACATCCTGGGAAGAGGCTTTTCTTGAAGAAAGCCTTTCATTTGCTATTAAACCATCTGATCCAGTCTATAAAGAAATAATGGAGAGACACAAGAAGAGTTAAAGCTGTAGGGACAGATATGAATTAATTTACACAGCCAGCTCAGCAGAGACACCACCCAATGCTAGTGGAACATGTTGGAACAGCTTTAGCAGTGGAAGAATGTCAGGCAGTGAAAAATCCTATGTAGATTTCACCATGAGATGGCTTGATCTCTGTTTCCCAAATAACAAAAACCCCCAGCTTTGTTAATGAAGGCAGAGCCACCACCCTTGCCCTAAATACTATGCAGCCTTCTCCTAGCAACTACTTTTCCTGAGCAGTTCACAGCCATGGAAAAGTCAGACCCCCCAACAGCTCTATCATAATCAGACTCATTCCTCTTTGGCCCCAGGGAGGGGGGATGTCAGCCTCACAGCTGAACAACATCTGCCAAGCCAAGACTTCTCAGACCAAGAAGAGTGACTGATACATACGCACAGGGCACTCTGTTACCACATCTAGAAAAGGTCAGGAAGTAGTAGCAAGTGCAGACAACTCTTTTCAAGAAGGCATGTCCTCCAATGGATCAAACCTACATGAGAGGTACTTCAGCACAGCTTGAGAAGAACAGACAACCTAGCTAGGAATTGTCCCCAGGTATAGAGAAAAACATCAGGAAAAACTGATATCAGGAAAAAAAGTAAATAAATAAACATTGGTGATGTTTAGGTGCTGAAGTTCATGTGGAGAAAACAAAACAACAAAATGAATATAAAAATAAATAAAATACACATGCAATAGCAACAGTGCACACATACTGTATAGTATTGTTACAGTACCTAAAAGGTATCAGGAGAAGAAAGATTGATCAGGAAATAGATATTCTGCATCCCATTAAGGAAAATATATACACACACAAACACATAGATACATATGCTCAGCCCCTTGGAAGAGAAATGTTTGGTCTTCCACCCACTGGAAGAAAATGGGTGATCTCTTGCATTTATCTCCTGACTTCTACTTGGGAAGCAAAAGAAAAAACAACTCAACAAAACCCTGAAAATTTAATGTGGCCATTTAGAGCGAAAATCCAGGAAGAATGAAGCTCCTGAATACAGTAATGAAAAATGTCCATTTCTAAAACTACAGCTTTACTAACAGATACGGACTAGATAGGAAAAGGTTAATGCTACTCTAGGGGGAGTATTGTTGAAGTACGTGGAGACAGTAAGCATTTCCTGGCTGCCTTTTCCATCTTTATTATTGAATTACTTGCTTCAGAGCTATGACCATTAGCAAAGAGAGATTAAGAAATGCCTATTTTGACTCAAAAGTGGTGTGGTCTGGCATTTGAGCTGGGAAATGTGACTGCTGAGAAGCACCCTTCATTCTCAGTGAGTCACTACAAAAGCTTGGGGAAAACATGGGGACCAGCATGCTTGAATGTATCATTTGGCTTTAGGTAACCAAAATGGGACAGCTTAGCCCCAAATATTCTAATACAAAGCTCTGCAGTACAGAGATCAGTCACTGGTACTCAGTATCTCCAAATATTAAGCTCTGAATACCTCAAATAGTGTGTCAAAAGTGTCTTCTGAGAAGTCTGTTCTTTGCCTCCCATATCTCCTTCTGTAACTTACATGATACAAGATGCTTCTGCCTTGGAATAAATCCACGTCTTAGATTAACTCATTAGTGGCTGTGAGGCATTTGCAGACCCTCCAGCTCCATGGGAAATTATCCCAGTTCAGCATGTTTCCCACTCTACTATTTCAGAATGAAGAAAATGCTTGGATTACAGCATTTTATAAATTGATGGAAAAAGAACTGTATCTTAGACTGGAACTTACTTTTTCAGCTTTAAAAGCCAATAAAGACATTAATAAATTACCACTATTATTACAGTACTTCTGACACTCAGATTAGTTTTCTTGTCCCTTGTTACCTGCTACCATCTTTCCACCTCAGCCTAGTCACACACAACCATCAGGTCTATTCCATGTCTCCAAATGATCTGCCTATCACTGTTTACATCCTAAACACCCTGCTATGGACAGCTTACAACAGAAATGTAAAAAGAAAGGAAACAGTTCAATAAAAGAATTATGTGTCAGCAAAAAAAATAGTTATCAGAAAACAGATTGTTGGAAGACAAATCTTCTAGATCAAATTGTATAGCCTCCTGGTATAGCAGGTAAGAAGAGACACTGCCTCCTCTGAGGGATGTGACATTCAACCCCCTTATTTTTATGAAGCACTTCTACCCCA